GCTTAGCAGCGAAAAATATTACAAGTTAATCCAAGCAGAGCAAATTGTTAAGATCCCAGTTACTTCACCGGAAACACATTTACAGAGTGAAAAATAAAATAATAAAATGGGATTCTACATTATATCTACTGCAGAATATTGTAGCTGCCTTGGTACTTCTCACCTGAAGGCACGTCTCAGTTCAAAGGCCAGGGCGGGAAGCCGCACACCACTCCTCTGACACCCAAAGAGAGCACCGGAGCAGCAGGTACCTGCTGCAGCTGGGTGGTCAACGGAGAGCAGGCACTAAGGGAGCACGTGTACGTGGGGGCAGGGAGAGAAGGGGTGCTACTATAAAAGGTGTGCTCTAAGTAGCATTTGCCATATCTAGACTCTGCTGGGCCTTGTTTCTAGTTTTCCATTAGATCTCCATAATGGAGACACCACCCTTAACAGCACAGATGACAGACGCGGTGTTTGACGTGCTCTCTCTGAACATCTCCAGTCCCAGTTTCTGTCCATCCTGAGGGTCGCAAAGCGTCACAGCACTCCTCTGCACAACAGCCAAGTGCTGAAAACCATCAGTGAGCTGTTCCATTGCCATGAAACTTTATGATACCAGCACTGCGTTCCAAAACTCACTGCAGGGCTTTAGGGCAACCTCCCCTCTGCCACAGACCAACAGCAAGATCCTCAAGCTTTGACTGGACTTCCCTCACCGTAGCCCTCCTCGTGCCCCCAGGGCTGTGCAGGGCAGGAGCTGTGGCTGTCAGAGACCCCCATCAGGTCAACGAGACCCAGCACCAGGCACTTCACAGCACCACAGCTCAGCCTGCAGAGGCTTCTGCGCCGGAGGTCTTCACACCAAGTGCTGGACAGGAAACAAAACTGAACTCCCTCGAACGATCCACTGATTGCTACGGATCCAGGCAAGTTCTGCGCTTGGGTGGCTGGATCACTGAATTCACCCAAGGAGATCTGTCTCAGTAACTGCAATACCAGTTGCTCTGGCTGGTCTTTAGAGATGCAAACACAAACATCTGATGCTGAACATCAAACTTTAACCTTCCTGCGGAGAAAACGCAGCAAAAAACAAGTGGGAGTTTGTGAAGCGAGCAGATGACATCCACGCAGAGTTCCCCCCTAACCCGAGCCCTGAGCTCTCTGCGCTTTCCCCTGCAGAGCCCGTGCAGCCAGAACTCGGTCTCAACTGTGGGACCCAGTCACTGGCGAGCGGCGTGCGTGCGCCGCTGGAGGAGGAACCCGGCCTGCCGCACGTGAGCTCGCCCCGTGGCCAAGCGCAGGCAAAGGGGCGTTGGCGATGGCTGCGTGGGCTTCCAGGCGCAGGACTGGAGGCTGCGTGGTCACACTGCCCGATGTTCCTGCAATGCTGAACATAACAAGACGCTCCTGGGGAGTGCTCCGGAGCGACCGCGGGGCTGGGGACAGGAATGGCTTCCCCAGGGCCCTGCTGCAGCCCAGCCGGGAGAGATGGGGCTGGGGTACAGACCGACCCTCCCCGTCGGCGAGTCCCATGGATCGGCACTTTGGTCACGAGCTGTGACCTGCTGGTTTTACAAGTGCTCCTCGATGGTCCCGCTCAGATGCAAGGACCAGGAGGGGCACTGAGGGGCAGAGAGGCTGCAGCAGGCAGAGGAGAGCAGGAGGGCCCGGGACTGCGGGGAGGCCATGGCGGGCAGACAAACACCAGGAGTGCTTGGGGCTGCAGGGAGGCCATGGCGGGCAGAGGAGAGAAGGAGGGTCCGGGGCTGCGGGGCAGGCCACGGCGCCGGGGGAGGCAGAGCAGCAAGGGCACTTGCTCCAGGGAGCAGTGAGAGCTGGGAGGTGAGGTGAGCTGGCAGAAACCTGGCAAGCAGGTCTGCATTCTGCACCGAGGCAGGTGCACGTGGTAAAGCAGGTGAAGTGCTTGCTTGGCTGGAGAACTGGGGGGGGGGGGGGGGGAATAAAAAATTAACAGCATTTCGGAAAGAAGCAGGAGCAAACCGAGCCCCACAGTGGATCAGCACAGCATTGTCTCCACAACGGGATACAGGATCAGTGGCTTCGGGAGATACACAAATCACGGGAAGCAATCATCTCGGGTAACCTCGTGAAGAACCTGCCCCGCCTGGAGGCTTCTCCCCAGACTAAGTGGACAAAAGAAAGCTCACACCCTGAAACGAGGACTTACAGCCATCTCCTTTCCTTTTTTCAACACATCATTTGTGTTATTGGCAATATCCTTGCTATTCATATTATCTACTCCTTTCTCGGAGAGTAAATTCCCAAGCCGGGACTGCGTGTCCCTTTACCGCTTCCACAGGACCCACCGTAACCAGATGCCAATGAGCATTAACTGGCCCAGGAACAATACTCCTCTGCCCAGGGAACTGGTAGCAGGGATCTGCTGAGACCATGCGAGGTGCAGCTACAGCTGTAACAACCACTCTTTACAGGGATGGCCCCAGGGAAGTATGTATGAATATTTTATGAATCATATTAACAGATACGGCCTGATCTGTGGTCAGGTTAGCCAGGAAGAGGGAGGTTGCTCTAGTCCAGGCACAGAAGACTGGTTGAGTTTAGGATATTACAAGCCAAGAAATATCATCTTTTTCAGCATTTTGAAATGCTGAACAGGTCTATCATTTGTGTATGTGAAAGGTAGGGATGGTCTCTTCGGGCCAAGCACTGAAGAAGTGAATCCACCTGCTCATCGCTTTCCAGCACGGTGCTGAGCAAAGGAGCTGCTACACCCCTTCCCATCTGCCCCAAACGACTCCCTGAGGCAACGGCTGCAGGCAAGTCCCAGGTCTGAAAACTGCAGCTCATCTCCTGCAGGGACCAGGATAAAATAACCTTTGTCCAAATGCTCGGTTGGTTTGACTGGGACATCATGTCCGCCTGGTACTGGACAGAGGTGGAGACCGGTCGGGCTGGGAAGGACTGGCTCTCCGGGGTGGGGGACAGCGTTCTCTGCCTGGGGTGCAGCTGATGGGCAGCTCGCACAGATGGGCAAATTTGGGCTTGGGAAGGAATCAACCCTCAGCAAGACTGGCAGAAGCCATGCAAGATTTTCACCATCCTCCGCAGCACGAAGTGCAGCTTCCTTGGAGGATCATCCAGCTGAGTGTCACTTAATAACCAGCTCCCTCCCTCTGCAGGGACTTTGCTGATGCTCCGGTCCCTCCCGTTTTCAGACCCCTTCTCTGGTTCACCCCACCAGGCCTGAACTGTTTCGCACAGAGTATCTCAATGAGGCGGGAGCGGTGGTGACACCGACAGGGCCAAGACAGAGAGTCTCAGCGCTTTTTCCAGCTTAAACCCCACGGCAGCGCAAAGCACCAGGCTGAGTGGCTGGGAAATACGGGTGACTCAGAGCCACCACGTTCACCTCTCAGTCAAGAGGATGCTGCTCCCCAAGGGGCATCGGCAGACTCAGCAGCACCCCTGTCCCACACGGCAGCACGACAGACCATGCCCACCCCGCGAGGGCTTCCAAGCCACGACCCCCCGCAGCCACGCGCTGCTCCCTGCCCCCTGCACCAGTGCCAGGCTGCCAATCCGTAAGCCAGACCCGAGTCCCACACAGCCTCACGCCCACTGTTTAATCCGCTCCAAGTCCTCTCTTTCCGCCTCAGCAGACAAAGGAAAATACAGAGCCTACAAATGTTAGGAGGGCAAACAAGAAAAATGAAAGAAAAAAGGAAACAGGACAAAATTTATCCCATTTTTCCTAACACAATAGCTGCAAGTCTGATCTGGCAAAAAAATGGATGCCATTTTGAGCCCTGAAGTTTCACTTCACGTTACACAGACTGATGCGAGCAGCACACGGACAGACATGTATGTCACATGTATAGGGAAGGGGGGAGAGAGAGGAGGCAGAGACAGCAACCATATTCCGACAGGAACGCAAACACACCCACTGGCACACAGAGCCCTTTCACGATACGGACAGAACAAAGACAATTCAGGAATCCCCACAGAAAATCACACCCAAGATTAAAGCCCAAATCACAATGATCTTCAGCTACACTGAGGTCCAGGAGAGGAGCAACACCACCGAACGAGCTGGCAGGCACTGGTTCAAGCCTTCCCTCCTGCATCCTGCACGCGACATGCAAGGAAGGGATGGAAGCATGCACTGCTGTGCCCCTGCTTTCAGCAGCTGCGTTTCTGAGACCCCTTCGCCTCTCCCCAGCCTTCAGTCTGGAACTGCTGGAGAGGGGACCTTCCAGCCGGAGGTGGACCTGCCTCCCGAGCACAGGGGCTGAAGCTTGTTTCCCATGTGAATGTGAGCACCTTCATTACCAGTCCCCAAGGGACTCTTTTTTTGTAGCAAAAAGATCGGTTTCTGGCAAGAGAAGCCAAAGTAACGACCCGGTCCAAGGTACCGGCTGCACGAGCTCAGGTGCTTCAGGGCTGCGCAGCGGACGCGTGCCCCAGGCGCGAGCAGAGGCTGTCTGGCAGCACAGGGTTGAAGGTATGGTGGCAGCTGCAGGACAGACATCTACTGGTTTGCCCTCATGCTGGGGCTGAACCCCAACACAGCCAGGGCTCCCAGGAGAAGGAACCCCAACTCTATACAGCCAAAGTATAGTGAAATACTTCAAGCATTATAAAAAAAAAAAAAGCCACAGAGGACACAGGCCCTGCCCCACGGGGCTTACACCTGCACCCGAAACAGAGCACATGCACTTTATACGCCCAGCAAATAGGCAGAAGTGAAAACTCCTACGAATACCAGCATCTGTACCAGAGAAACACCCCAGAACGTGCGAGAGGCACATTTGCCATGAGTGGCATTTTCTGTACAATGCACGTAGCCAGAGACAAGCTGCACTCACGCTGCCTAGCCATCGGAGAAGGAGAAGAGAGTCCCCGAAGAGACCCCGACGCACAGGGGCTCGCAGGCTGCTCGGTGCAGCCAGGGTAATGGGGTCCTGAGCACCAGCCGAAGTCAGGAGAAGGAGCTTTCCCTCCCAGCCCCAGGACCGAGCGAAAGAAGCAGCCCTTACCTTTGGCCCCTCGCAACACAAACCCGAATCCCTCATGCTCCCTCTTCTGCAGCACGGCCGTCTTCTCCTCAATGATGTAGTCACTGGGCAGGAAAGAGCACAAGAGAATGATGCTAGGGTTAGATTTCAGCACCATGCTGCCAGGCGGAGGTGGCCTTTGTGCCTGTGACAAGGAGACCTCTTCTCATCGACCGTTTCATCTCAGCAAGGAGTTGGGCACAATCTGCTTCCCTCCCTCCCTTGCCCAAAGTCAGAACAAAAAGACGAGAGCTACTTTCCCTCAACGTGTAGGTGGAGGAAAGCCCCGGCTGCCTGGATCACCCTTCTGCCCACCGGTCCCCTTCTCAGTCACCTGCATACGCATGCAGGGAGCTTACTGATCCCACTTTGGGCTTCCCTTTAAATGATGCCCTTAGCATGTAACTGAAGAGCGGAGCGCCTGAGCAGAGGAGGTGCGGGGGGAGGCAGCCATCCATCCATCAGGGAAGCAGCTCTCTGAGACTTTCCGGTTGCCTCTCGTATGAAAAAATTAGATGCTTGACAAAAGGAGAGGTGCCTCTTTGGTAAGTTCCCTGGGAGGGAGAACGGCAGAGTTTATATCCTCATCCCGGCGCTCTGATCTTCTCTTAAAATCCCCCCCCGCGTTGCTAAGTAACGGTCTGTCATTAGCAGAGGGGGGATGCATTGCATTGTCCTAGTCTAACAAAGCTGCTCTCCCTGCCCTCCGCCGCGGCCAGACAAGAAGAATGGGGAAAATCCGGTGGTGGAGAGAGAGGAGCGGACACGCAGCTCTGTGCGGACCCCGGCCGCCAGCGACCCTTCCAACAAACCACCTCTACGCGTGCCGGGAGGGGCGGGGGGCGCGCGGGGAGGGGAGACGGGAGAGGGATTCTCTCAGCAAACGGGAGCTTAAATGCAGCCCTGCAAATCCCTCCCAGCAGAGCCGCATGTCTGACATCAGAGTGGAATTAATCAGGGACCTCGGTCCTTCTCGGCAGCGCGGGGAAGGAGCTTTGCACACCAAGCCAAAACCGGGAGAGGCAGAGAGGGAGCGATGGCACAGGCCGGCCCCCAGCCGTGGGCACGTGCAGCCAGCGATGGGGTCTGCCCAGCGCGCCGCAGCGGGGAACAAAGACCCGCGCACCACCGCACTGCACAGAAACACGCTGCCAAGGAGCAGGTACAGCGGCGGGCGCACAGGCAGGCACGCTCGCAGGGGGGAGGAGACGGCCGTAGACAGGCGCTGGCACAGAGCAGGCTGGGTTCGCACACTGCGGTATGAGGTGCCCCAACATGCGCGGTACCGCCGCTGCAGGCAGGCACACGCCCCACCGGCACACACGTCCCGCGCCACGCCGCGCCGCGCCTGCTGCCTCCTGCCCCTTGCTGCAGGGAAGGGGTCGCCTGCCGGGGCTCAGGCTGTGCCCCGTGCCACCCCGTGTCACCCCCCGGGACCCTGCAGGGTCGGGCGTTTCTGGATGGAAGGCGATGGGCTCACAGGGCTGCTGCGTGGACTGCGTTGGCAATCCACATTTTTGTGTGGACCTTCTAGCAGCCATGGACTGCGACCGGCAAGCGCTGGGACAGGACACACCTCTCTGCATCCTGTCCATCTGTAGCCTCATCTGCCAGAGCTGCATTTACAGGCATCACGATCCCTTTTTGGGCAGGTAGCTCTGCGATTCTGCCATTAACACCACAATAGTATCTAGCTCCTAGCAAGACAGATAGAAATATTGTTTTCCAGACCAAGGGAAGGTGATCACAAAAGTCAATACACACAACGGCTGCAGGTACCGAGCCGCTCCAGCAGACATCGTCCATGGAACCTAAAGCAGGACACAAGCCTGAATTCCTTGGGCTTCCCTGGCAGTTTGGACATGCTTAGGCATCATCCATGAAAAAATAGGGTATCTATAAAAGCAGTGACTTCATGCAACAAAGTACCTAGACGTGGATAAACTTCAACAAAATTATGTGAACCGCTTTAAAGGAGGCGGCTGCTGTCATACAGTCATCCCTTTATGTCACATTTTCAACACATTGCCTGTCTTTCTAAAGCAGAGCTGGTTATGCATATGTTCCTCAATATGGGTAAAACTCTCTCCTCTACAACGAAATCCTCTCTTCCAAGCATAGAGTGTCCTCCTGGAAACAGATTCCTAACTACCATGCCCAGAAGAGGTCATTACGGTAACATAATCCTCCTGTCCATGCAACAAGAGCCGGACAACCACAAACTGTGACTCCTGTCTCAAAGTAGTTGTGGATGCCCCCTCCCTGGCAGTGTCCAAGGCCAGGCTGGACGGGGCTTTGAGCAACCTGGGCTGGTGGAAGGTGTCCCTGCCCATGGCAAGGAGGTTGAACTGGACGATCTTTGAAGGCCCCTTCCAACCCAAGCCATCCTGTGATTCTGCGATAAGCCTTTACCTTCTATTAGAACTATGACTTACCATTTAGGAGGAGAGCTAGACCTAACACATTTCGCATCCACAGGAATATCCCCGCTTTTCCGTATGACACGCCAATCCCTTGTAGATGGGTTAAACCACGACAATGACCTGTGCCAGATCTTAACCCCATACCAAGAGCAAATTCTGCCACCTCTGCAAGAATGTGTTTGCGCATGTGTATATGCAAGAGAAGGAGAGAGAAGGAAAGGGAAACAAATGTTTATGTACAAAATCATGATTTCTGTTTACCTGGTGGTGGGCTGAAGTGCCCAATTAGTCCTGCTGTGATTGCTTTGTCAGTGAGAAAATGAGGAATCCACAATGAAAGAAAACTCTGTACCTCTAATTCTTCCCATAGGACCTGCGGTTGTTTCATCCACATGAAAAACTGAAGAAACTCTTGACAAAACTGCTTGTACTCTGTACAAGTACAATTCCACCCAGCCTCCCCCACCAAGCCTCATCTGCCAAGATTTCCTGCAATAATGTAAGCCTTTGAATAACTTCAACCTGCTGCTGCTCTTACCCAAAGTTATTCTGCATAAAGAATATTCGATTCTTTCCGCCACCTCTGAATTATTCCTCCTCCTACAAATAAACTGGCAAGAAGTACCTTAATTCAAAAACCTAAACTTGTCAGAAGCAATAGGAGAACTCCCCAGCACACTGCCTTCTGTCCCTGAACACTCCAAAAGTACGTATGCACAGCTACCTGCGGGATTTTTAGAAACGTTGGACATTTATTTGTTGTAGCTCACTCTCTTCCACTGCGTCGTCCACAGAGGGATTTATGAAGTTAGACTTGCAAGAGGGATCTCGCAAGAGCACTCCCAGGTCAAGTCCCTCCAGAACCTGCAAACCCTTTGCCTGTTGCCATCCAGCTCTGCAGGCACCTAAAAACCCTCAGGTTCTTAATTGACTACAGTGAGGTCCATTGGACACCTTCACGTTTGGATACAACCCCACTCATCAGTTCTATAGGTAGATGTATATAAAAAGTGAAATAAAAAGTCCCTACATTTTTGTGAACTAGAATTGTGGGGGAGTAGTGAGACACCCGAGATGCCACTGATCCACACTGCTGGAGCTCCGAGGGCTGGAAAAAGCAATAAAAAACAGCCTGGGGAAGGAGATGAAGCAGTGTAATCAAAGACCTGTGATAGTGTCATACTTAAAAAATAGCCTGAATTACTCATTTTTTTTTATTTTTGTCTAAATAAAAATAGGAACTTTCAAAAAATAAGATGTAGTAGGGAGTTATTTTAAGGTATCAAAGAAAGATTAAGCAAAATGCCTGACCAACCTAGTGGCCTTCTATGATGGAGTAACTGCATCAGTGGACGAGGGCAGAGCTACAGACATCAGCTATCTGGACTTCTGTAAGGCCTTTGACACGGTCCCCCACAATATCCTCCTCTCTAAATCGGAAGGAGATGGATTTGATGGGCAGACTGTTCGGTGGATGGCAAACTGGCTGGACGGTTGCATCCAGAGGGTGGTGGTCAATGGCTTGATATCCAGATGGAGACCAGTGACAAGTGGTGTCCCTCAATGGTCCGTTCTGGGGCCAGTGCTGTTCAATATCTTCATCAGTGACACAGACAGCGGGATCGAGTGCACCCTCAGGAAGTTTGCAGGTGACACCAAGCTGAGGGGTGCAGCTGACACGCCTGAGGGACGGGATGGCATCCAGAGGGACCTGGGCAGGCTGGAGAAATGGGCCTGTGTGAACCTCATGGGGTTCAACAAGGACAAGTGCAAGGTCCTGCACCTGGATTGGGGCAACCCCCGGTATCCGTACAGGCTGGGGGATGAAGGGATTGAGAGCAGCCCTG